TTTGTGTAATTTAGAGATTTATTGGTTATTCGAAGTCTATTTAGTGATAAAATTTAAGATTGTGATCAAACAATTAAATATTTTTCTCAAGAGAGTTACACATTCACATAACTACAAGTAATAGTGAATTTTTTCAACACTTTAGAAACAACTGACAAATCCTTTAATCTTGTATTAAGTGTAATAATTTTATTATCAAAATAGTTTATTAATTTGCCCCCAGCTAAAGTAGATATCATCAATTTATATTAACTAACCAATAATTTTGTTTATATTTTCAAAATATCATTACATTTAGCAAAGTAGATGATACGCATGTTTATGTAATAGCAAACAGACAATTACAGAATAAGTATCAAAATAGGATGAATTTCACTTCCCAAAATGTGATGGTTACGCTATCATTTAATTGACAAATTATTTATATTGCTACTGGCTATGAGGGATCGAGTCAATAAGGGGGTGCTACAATAGTCAGCAAGTGACGAATACTTTAGAACATTATAGGTGAGATTTTACTTGATGAAGTCCAGCAATGCAAATACAGAAAAGCTCTTAAAACCATTTAAAGAATATTGTTATCATTTAAGTACTACAGCAACGCTTCTAAAAGAAACTCAATAAAAAAAAATTATAGAATCATCAATAGGATCATTTACTCAATATTGTTGAGATAATTTTTATATTTTTAAAGAAATATTTTAAGTGTTAACGCATACACATTAATTTATTACAATGGTGCATTTAAATATTATACTTATTTATGGAACATTACATAATTTTATTAGTAGCTATCATGAATATGAAATGTATTTCAAAATGATATGTATCATGATAGTCAATATAGTGCAATGAAAGTCAATGATGAGGACTCAGATTTGTACGCAATTGCTGAGAAAAAAATTGAAGGAGACGCCATAAGACATGCAATCGTCACTGACTTGTATGAAGCATGTGAAAGAAATAGTAATATCAATTATTAGATCGGCTTTAAACCCATATCTTTTTGTTTCAGCTATGGATGTTCTTATCAGGCATCTACAGGAGGATGTAAATTGGTGTATGTTTTTTGCTATTGATATCCATTCTGTGGAAAAGACTATAGAGAGTTCAAAAAAAACTTGATTTATGGAGGTGAACTTTAAAATCTAAAGGCTTTTGTTTTAGTAGATCTAAAATTGAATACATTGAACGTAATTTTAGTAGTAATAGATCTAGTGGAGGGGTCATAACAATTTGCGATCAAGTCATTAAAAAGAGGGAATATTTTAGATACCTCACGTCTATTGTTCAAAGTGATGGTGATATAGATGAAGAAGTTATTAGTAGAATTCAAGTTGGATAGTTGAAGTGGAAGAATGCATCAGGCCTATTGTGTGATAGAAAAGCACCACTTAGACATTAAAAAAAATTATATGATGGTGGTGAAACCCGCAATGCTTTATGATGCAGCATGTTAGCCTATAAAAGAGAAGCATAAAATTAAGAGTTGTTGAGAAAAGAATGCTCGGGTGGATGATACACAAAAAATATATGTATTTTTAGACTTATATTTTATACTCATTTTTTGTGATATTGCGCTTTAAAAGAATGTATTTTTCATTTTTTTATTGCAGGTTGATGATTTTTAGCGCTTGAAACAAAAAAGATGAAATTTGAAGTCAAAATGACGTTTTGAAAAGAAATACTCAGCGCCGACGGCGCCAGCATGACGGAAGGAGTCCAAAATAGCGGGGGCGCCAACAGGGCCATACTGGGCGCCGACGGCGCAATTTGACAGAGAGCACCAAATTAATTTCGGGCCACGGGCGTCGAAAACGTCATTGTGGGCATTGACGTCGCTGAAGTCGTTGTAGGGCGAAATTCTAGAAGATTCGACGAATTTGGACGTTTTTTTAAGAGTTATTTGATGCACCTATTGGAAAACAGACATAAAGCTCTGGTCTATTTAGAGCGAAAATTGATCAGAAAAAAAGTCGGCTAGTGTGTCATTGAGTTTTCTTTAGTCTTCCATTGTGTGTATTGTGTAGTGTGGTGAGTTTAAGTGTGATTTCTCCTAAGAGTTGTTGGAGAGAGAGAGAAGTGAAAGATTTCTTCTTCCCTACATCTTCGAAGAGAGAATTAAGAGTCTTGTAAAGAGAGAAATAGTCCAAGAAGAGCTATAAGGGATTTGCTTTGAGGAATAGTTAAAGATAAGTGGTGTTTGTTTATTATTGTTGTATAAATTTTCTTTTACTTATGAAATTCATATTTTGTTGTATCTTTCTTATGAGGTCTGAGTAATTTTCTTTGTCTTTCTCCCTACTCTGAGATATAGTGAAATGAAAAAATAATTTGAATATGCTAATTTTAAAATATAAAATAAATTGGGATAATTTTTTCACTCCGTTCTTAATTTACTGTTCGATTTGGTCAATTGAAATGTTAACATCTGTTATTAAAAAATACTATCCGGGAAATAGAGTACGAGTTTCACAACAAAGTGAGAATCATATTTAATTTCATAAAGGAGTGTTTCGTTCATGAAATTGAGTGCAAACAAATAGGAAATATATATATTACTGGGCGAAGAATTGGAGATTCTAGAATGACAGATTAAAATCCTCAATTTTGTCTTAGTGTTTAAGAACTAAAGCGAGAGTTAGCCTTCAGGGGAAGGGAAGTGAGAACTCTGGAATGAGAGTCAGTATCCTCCCAGCCTAACCACGAATTTAGAGACTAAACCTAAAATTAGTCAACGATCTTTATAACACTTGACTGAGAGTAGAGAAATAACATTGCTCATATTTAGCACAAGACATAGTAAAACCATTTATCTCTCTCATTTAACCAAAAACTCATTGTAGTGAGAAAGATGATTTCTCATATTGGAAACTTCATCACAAAAATATAATTTTGTAGTTATTGCTTAACTTTGTTTACAGTTTCGCTAGTAATTAGTAATTTAGTTCTGATAGCACCCTAAACATTTGAAATTGGTGTAGTAGATTTTTTTTATTGTTGTGAATTTCGTGATTTAAATTTTCATTACAAATTTACACCTTCTTCGTGGGATCGATATTTAGGGCTAAAACATAAAGTAATGTATTATTTTATAACGATACGTATACTTGCGTAGAATTTCAATATAAATTGTTTCAATTTCTTATTCATAGATAACGAATCAAGTTTTTAGCGTCGCTGCAAAGCGGAGTCAACTTTATTAATTTTACACATCTATAATTTCAGGATCAGTGGATGAGTGGCTTTACACTTAGAGACAAAATGTGAAATGAATATATCCGTAAAAGGGTTAGAGTAGCTCCAATGACAAGCAATATTAGAGAGAATCACCTCACATGGTTTGATCACATTAAACGCTGACCATCTTATACCATGTTACGAGAGTAGGTGTTATAAATTTGACTTATATTAAGAAAGGTAGAGATAACCTCAAAATACTTGGGCATGTTGTATAAAAAATTATTTTAATTTATTAGAAATAAATGAAAATATAACACTGAAGAGGACAAAATGAAGAAAAATAATTCACATTGCCAACCACACTTAGTGGTAAAAAGGCTTCGTTGTTTTTGTTGTGTTGTTGTAATATTTATCTTTTTCAAAAATTTTAATATACTAATACTTTATTATTTTCTTCATAGCTAAAGGGTCAACAATATCGATTGATTTGATAAAGTTACTCACCAAAGTTATTATAAGGAATAAAATGAGTATTATATTTCACATACTCAAAACTTATCCTCAAGGAAGTTTTTGGATGTAACACCACAATTCTTTTTCTCTTTAGTTATTTATTGCAGTTTTTGTAAGTCCATAATCTTATAAATTGATATTATATAACTTTTTTATTTACTTAGCTTGTCAAGGTAGCTTGTTTATATTATAATATGCTATTTGATATTAAAATTTGTATATGATGTTCCCATTTAAATTCAAACTAAAAAAAATTGTGAATTTCTATTGCAATTGTGATATTCTACGAGTTTTACTTAATTTGAAATTTATTTTTCTCATATGCTAGAATTTAAATTTACATTAGAGAGTGAAGCAAGTTGATAAAATTGTTAAATTTCTATAAATGAAAACAATTTAACTAACGAAATAAATAATTTTTTTAATGCAAGTTGTTATATGTTGTTTGCTCTATTCACTAAGCATAGATTTAAATTAGAATAAAATTGAAATTTAGTGTTATAACTTCTTTCTATTTGCATCTTTCTATAATATTCAATATTATCAAGACTTAAGAGAATGAGAACTTACTTTAGTTTACAGCATTAGCATATCACAATTGTATTATGAATTGCATCAAATGTTAACGACGAGACAAGCATCTATCAAATTCTTAAAGGTGAACAAATGCTCTAATTTTTTTAAATGTTTTCTCAGGTTTCTAAAAATCAAAATATTTTGTTTAACATAATTCAAATTCATAAAGCTCAACCAACTTAAACACTTTTTGTAATTTTTTCTTCATTCATAATACCAATCTGTATACTGGTAATCATTGCGATGAAATCCTAATTAATAAATAGCTATCTTAGGATTGTTATAAATTAATGATTGTTGTAAGTCAAATTATTGAAAAATCAATTTAAATGTAACTAATCTTAAAATTTTCAACATTATATTTTAATAATATTTTTTATTCTAACTAACAGACTTAAATCTTGGTTCAAATTGTCGGATGGTTTGTGGGGATTTACTCGGTTTAACTATTAGCTTGCCAAACAATTTTTAAACATTTAACCAACTCAAATTTTATAAGTCCAGAATTATAGAATTCACTAAATCCTCCAACTGTAGCCAAACAGCCCCTAAATCCTGCTTAAATCCACTACCAAGCACCCCCGGAGATATCCGCAATTAACAAGCTCCCCGCATGCAAGGGATCTAAGAAACCAAATCTAAAAAATAATAGCACCACCATTGCGCCCAACTTCCATGAATGTGCCGGGGACACAGAAGAAAACAAAACCTGCATAAAGATAGATCACCTGTTTGCGACATACTCGAGATCGATCTCGTCGGAAAAGTATGGGAAGTAGACAGAATCGATGACCTCCTCACTTCGGGTGATGGCGAAATCGAAGAGATCGGCGAAGTCGACAGCTTCATCGCGCCGACAGTCGAGACGGTGAGAAATATCGCCCCAACTCCGGAAGTCGAGCACACGCCAGCAAAATGGATCCCGCGCAGCGTACCGCCACGCTGAGCACACATATGGCACACCGGCTATAAGATCTGCTACTCCGATCCGCGAGAAAATCGCCAACAAAAGGTCGCTACTCAGGTCCTCCCACCTCCTGCTCCTTCCGTCTAGGACGGCGCCGCTTCCCCTGTCGGCAGCTGGAAACCTTTTTCTTCCGTAGTTCACCGCCTCCATCTCCGACACTCGTGTGAGGTCATCCGAAGCCATTTACGAATCTACACCCTTAATCATCCATTTTCCAAATTCTCCCTCAAAACATCAAAAATCATCATAAAATCCCAACCCCGATCTTTCATTTTTATCAAATTCTGAATAGAAAATACATCCATTCTGCATTTCAAAAATATCAAGTGAATACTAAATTTTATAAATAATAATATTTCATGGTGCTATTTAATTATCTCTTTAATGAATCTCAACATAATATTAATAGGAAGTGTATGTGTCATATATATATATATATATATATATATATAGAGAGAGAGAGAGAGAGAGAGAGAGAGAGAGAGAGAGAGAGAGAGAGAGAGAGAGAGAGAGAGAGAGAGAGAGAGAGAGAGAGAGAGAGAGAGAGAGAGAGAGAGAGAGAGAGAGAGAGAGACACACACACACACACGTGTAACCCCTAAATAAACTTAGTAATTTTATATTTTTTAATCAATTTAAATAAAATATTTTGACTTAGCTTTCTCCATAAGTAAGAGAAAGTTCATTCAAAATAAAAAAAAATGTAATTGTAAAATGTCATTCATTTTTTATTTGGTAAAAGCTCTTATTTAATGAATCCAAGAAATACTTATCAAATAAATTAGTTTAAGCTCACCCTTGAAGGTTTCAACCAAGGGAGGAAGGATACCTTCAGGAAAGCACTCAAATTCTACATAATCTCTACCTGTAGCAGCCTCCAACTCTTCTCTGCTCCAAAATTCTCTTCAAGAAGCCCTAAAAATCCTTCTTATAGCAAGAAGCATACATTTGGCAAGCAAATCGTTTTCCAAAAATGTGCTCCCGCTCGTTGGAATGATCACCCCCAAAAATGTCATCGTCATGCCCAAAACTTTTGTGGTCACGCTAATCCCGGTGAAGTATAGTTGTGTAAAGTTTTATAAGTTGACTTCGCTTTACAACGGTGCCAAAAACTTGATGTGGTATTTTATGAATAATAACGTTAAGCACTTAATGTTTGGATTCTACACAAGTATACGTATTGTTATCAAGTGATATAAAACTTTCTATTTAAGTCCCAAATATCAATCCCACGAGGAAGGTTTAAATTTAAAATGATAAATTAACTTG